CAAGCTATTCATTCTCAAAATCAGCAAGTGAAGGTTTACAGAAAGACTAAAGGCATTTATCTTTTGCAGTATTTTCTGCTGTGTTTTCGCATATTGACACAAACGCTTCTGAAAGAATCAGAAAGTGTGTGTAAGTCAGGGAAATCAGGGATGCCAAAAAAAAAAAAAAGAAAAACCTCCAAACATTCCATTTCCCACAAAACCCAGAATCCCATTGGACTCGTGCTGTGGGGAGCAGCATATTTGAGGCCAAAGTTAAATTTAGTTTCTACTTTTGCTGCACAACCCGATGCAAAATCAAGGCAGTGCATGCCGCTTTGCCTTTCACAGCTGCCTGAAAAAAGCAACTGCTTTGTATGTGGAGAAATAAAGATGTTGCACAGTGTTGCACTTTTGATTTTGTTGTAAAAATCCCTGAGAAAGGCCTGGTGTGCTGGGTTGGTTTAAATGACTGAAATCCGAAATCTCTGTGAAGTAAAGATAAACATCCGTACTGACTCACTGTCTGACTCAGGAGCCGAGTGAAACGTTAAGCAACTGACTGGTATCCATTGAATTGACTATGCAGATCTCTCATCGCCTTCACTGCCGACCAGCCTGCTTCACTCTGAATGACTGACAGACTGAATCACCTGTAATTTGATGACTGTTCGCGGTCACCGACTGCACCTCTTGCACTAATGTTCACTTGAGCACTGGCATGGTTTTACTGTTTTTTTGATCAGTCTAAAAGACAAGAGTTCATTTGTAGTCAGTGAATTTCTCAGAATAAGAGCACATGCCAAATATAGCACAGGTACATATAATGGCCAATCATGTTTGTGATTTGAACACAGTTCTTTTTAATCTGGCAGCATGCAAAGATTTAAGTTTGAAACCTCCCACCTCCTCATATTCGTAGTGATGCAGAAACCATTTTTAAAAGAGAATCAGTCATGTAATCAAAAACAATCTTGTTCTATAAATATATATATATATGTGTATATTTGAGTTTGTGTACCTAAAAAGGGCCACATAGAAACAGGCATTGAATATGCTAAAGCTATAAATAAAATGTTAAGTGCCACTGGTTAATGCTGCATACTTGACACTTTATGAAAAAAAAAAATCTGGCTGCTGTAACATGCAAAATAAGCTGTTAAGCTCTGCTGGTACTCTGTATGCTCAAGTTTCTTTCTGGTTTAAATGGTAAAGCTGGTGACTGAGGAGGTAAAAGGTTAATTAACTGACTGACTTACTGACCGACAAACCGACTGACTGGTCCAATGAACTCAGTGGCATAAGAAAGCTATTAGGACACATACACATAGCTGAAGTCCCAGGGGTGGGAGAGAGCCAGCGAATAGGATTACCACTGTGTGTGTCCTCCGCTGTGAACTCCTCCTTATTAGGACTCTTCTTCCTGCAGTGACTGTGCAGACAGACAGGCTTCTGCTGCCTGTCTGTCTGCTGCATGCTTTAATTAGACAGCTTGTACACACTGAAACCATGCACACTAACGCCGGTGAGTTTAAACTCTGGTCTGATGTCTGCTTTTGTTTCACCAGGTGTTGCTGAGTGACACACTGTGTAAAGTGATGTTAAAAAGCTTTGACTGTGACCGTTCCACAGCCAGGGCAGAATCCACAGTGCCTTGCAGAGTCGCTGAAGGGTCATAGGAGTTTGATCATTCAGTCCAAATGTGTTTAGTGAACTTGGAGAAGGACTATGACAGTGTCCCCTGAGGAATCATGTTGGGATTACTTTGGAAGTACAGGGTAACAGGGCCATTGACATGATCTATGCAGTGATTGTACAACCGAAGTGAGAGCTGTTTGTATTTTGAGGTCAAACACTACTAGTGGGTCCTGGATGCTCCTTGTCTCAAATCCTCCTTGTGATATCCATGGACATGATCTTAAGACTTCAGTCACGTCTCCGTAAACGATGTGGTTCTGTTGGCTTCATTGAGGCTGGGTATGAAGTGGCTGAGTTAAGAGTTAGCACCTCCAAGTCTGAGGTCATGGTTCTCTGCTGGAAACTGGTGGATTTCTTCCTTTAATCTGGGGGGAGTTACTGCCCATGTGAAGGAGTTGAGGTATCTCAGGATTGTGTTCACAAGTGATGGGAAAAGGGAGCATGAGATGTACTACCAGGGTGAAGAGGAAGCTGGCCTGGAAGGCAAAGCTCTCGATCTACCAGTCGATTTTCTTTCCAAACCTCACGTATGATCACGTATTTCTCCTGGGTGCCTTCCTTTGGAGGTTTTCTGGGCATATCCATCTGGGAGGATTGGGAACACCTTGGCATCCACCTGGAGGAGCTGGAAAACATTGCTGGGAGAGGGATGCGAGAATGCTCTGCTTAGCCTACTGCCACCGCGATCCAACCCCAGATGAGAGGAAGAAAATGAATGGATAGTTAATGTGACTCGGACTTGACTCTAAATTTTGGTTAACAAAACCTTCAAATTCAATACAGCATTTGTTCATTTGTTTGGCTGTTGGACTGATACCAAAGAGTCTTGCCACTATCAGGAGGAA